GTTGAAATATTATAGAAGTAATAAGTAACTTTGCGTAACGATATAATAAAATCCGAGGGATACCCTTTTCTGGGGGAGAATATAACAAAGGGAAAGACATACTATCATGTTATTTGAGTGTCTCCATCCCCTAGATTGCAACGAAAAAAAAAAAAGGATTCATGTATATAACTAGGGTTTCCCCACTGGGTGTGTGATATATGCGTATACACATTTTTGGCGCTTCCACGAGTTAGAAAGTAGCCAAGTATAGCTCACGAAAGCAGACATGTGTGAAGAATCCCAGGTGACAACATCTGCATGATAGGAAATCATACGAAGGGACTCCTCTTGGTCGCTTTTATTTTCCTCACGTACTTGTTTAAGTCACAAAAAAAAGGACTTGCTTTTTTTTTCATAATCATTTGAGTTTATTTTTTTTTTTTTGGATAGCCCTTTTTCCCCCAGTGGCGCGAACAAGATGAACAACATCAACATCGTGTGCCTGGGTGGCGCGAGCGAAGTGGGTCGTTCGTGCGTAATTATAGAAAGTGCGAACAGGTCAATCATGTTGGATTGTGGAATTCACCCGGCCTTTATGGGGATCGGATGTTTGCCCATCTATGACGCGTATGACATCTCGAAGGTGGACTTGTGTTTAATAACACATTTTCACATGGATCACAGTGGTGCCTTACCGTACCTAGTTAACAGAACTCGTTTTAAAGGTAAGGTATACATGACCGAGGCGACGAAAAGTATCTGCTATTTATTATGGAACGACTATGCGCGAATTGAAAAATGTATGCACATGATGAATAAGATGAAAGGAAGTAGAAATAAAAATGAATCAGGTAAAAATGAAATGGACGAGTATGGCAACAAAGTGAAAAAGGGAGGGCGATACTCCAGTGATGAGTATGGAAGTGAAGACAATGACGACGATGATTATTACCAAAGTTACATTTGTGAAATGGGAGATGGAGATATAAAGCATAATGTACTGTATGATGAAAATGATATCAATGCAGTGATGAAAATGATAGAGACCTTAAATTTTCACGAACACATAGAATTTGAGGATGTAAAATTTACAGCATATAGAGCAGGACACGTCATAGGTGCATGCATGTTTTTAGTGGAAATAAATAACATACGTTTTTTGTACACAGGTGATTATAGCAGGGAAGTGGACAGGCACATTCCCATAGCAGAGATCCCGACCATTGATGTCCACGTGTTGATTTGCGAAGGAACATATGGAATAAAAGTCCATGACGATAGAAAAAAAAGGGAAGTTCGCTTCCTTAATATGATTACGAGTATATTAAATAATAAAGGGAAAGTCTTACTGCCGGTGTTTGCCTTAGGGAGGGCTCAAGAATTGCTATTAATTATGGAGGAACATTGGGAAAGAAACCCCCCGTTGCAGAAAATCCCCATCTTTTACATTTCGTCCATGGCTACAAAATCGTTATGTATATATGAGACCTTCATAAATTTGTGTGGAGATTTTGTACGACATGTACTTAATGAAGGAAAAAATCCTTTTGATTTTAAGTTCGTAAAATATGCGAAATCGTTGGACTCTATTTTGAATTATTTATATCAAGATAATAATCCGTGTGTTGTTATGGCTTCGCCTGGTATGCTACAGAATGGAATTTCAAAAAATATTTTTAACATCATTGCACCTGATAAGAAAAGTGGAGTTATCCTTACTGGGTATACAGTCAAGGGGACTTTGGCCGCTGAGTTAAAAACTGAACCGGAGTATGTCCTCATTAACGACAAACTTGTTAAGAGGAGGTGCCGCTTCGAGGAAATTTCCTTCAGTGCTCATTCTGATTTTAATCAAACCAAAACGTTTATTGAACAGCTGAAGTGTCCCAATGTGGTTCTTGTGCACGGGGATAGGAATGAATTGAACAGACTGAAAAATAAGCTAACTGAGGAGAAAAAATACCTGTCTGTTTTTACGCCCGAGTTGCTGCAGAGGCTGACTTTTCGATTTGAGCACAGTGACCACGTGGTGTCTCTGGGTCGTCTTTCCCACCATATTAGGTATCTGGCTCGGCGGAGGGAGGCTTTACAAGGCGACGAATCGAATGCGGCGGATGAAATAAACGTGGTGGGAGACAACAATCGAGGAGATGCAGCCGCGGAGAAAAAAAATGAACAGTCGGGGGGACAACCCCCCCTCGGGGGAAGCACCAACCAAGAGGATGAAAAACGAAACGACAGAAATGGAAAGGTGAAAACAATTCCCAACGAAGTGGATGCCATAATCATCTCGGAGCCGAAGGCCATCCCGATCATGATTTACGCCAAGGACATTTATGAGTATACAAATTTGAAGACTGCGCTGATCGACCAGACGATTAACATAAAATTCCCCTACGATTTCGAGCTGCTGTATCATATGTTGAGGGGGGTGTACGAGGAAACGCATATGGAGGGTGCGGGGAGCAGCGGTGAGAATGGTGGTAGGAATGATGGTGGCACTGGCAGTGACCGTTGCAGTGTCCATGGTGACAACAGCGAAGCGGTCATCTTCGTGCAGGACGTAAAAATCCAGCACTGCAGCGCAGAGAAGGTCATAAGTATTAACTGGCTTTCAAGCCCAGTGAACGACCTAGTCGCGGACAGCGTCAATTTTCTAATTCTAGAATTTCTTGACACCATGAAGAATAACAACCACCTGCCCATCTGCAACGAAGTAACAGATGATGAGATTTATGAAATGATCATTTCCTACGTCCAGGAAAATTATACCAATGTGGAGAGATTTTCCAAAGTGGAGTTGAGAAGGTTCCTTCTGCAAAATAACAGTAACAGCCCCGAGAGGGGAAAAAACGAGCAAGCAAACAATGCATCCACAGATGGGATGGCTAACTTGAAGAATGGCCAATCCTATTCATCTGACAAGGTGAACCAAATCGATCATAAACGAATGGAAGAAGAGGTTGATGTGCACGAGAACCATGATGAACAAAGAGGGCACAGAGACAAAATGAAGAATTTCCGTTCCCTTGATAAAATATTATTTGACTATATCGCGGCAGATGCTAGTTTAGCAATGTCCACTGATGAGGAGGAACCCGTTGTGCGTGTTCTCCATGGCGGGATGCTTTATGAAATTCTAAAGTTTGAGGTAAAGGATAATAACAACAACGATGTTAATGTGTACGTCGATATAGACAATCGGGAAGTCATCTGTGAGGATGTTACAATTTTGTTAAAAATTAAAGAAATTTTAAAAAACATAGAGGAGTCTCTATTGCCCATGTGCTTTTAACACAGGGTGTGTAGGGTGTGTAGCGTGTACACGGTGTATGGGGCGTCCAGGGTTTATATATTCCTCGCCCCTTGGAAAGGGTATTTAATTCATTGCTTACTGTCTTCACATCGGGGAGATCGTCATTAAAAATGCGCGTGAATGAGTGGCCCATTGGAGAGTTAATCCTCTCCCTCCCCAGTTTGTATAGGCA